ACAGCTAAGCACCACCTGTGAAATTGAGACTAGCCAGGAAGTCAATGGGTGAGAGGAGTTTCTAGCGCAGTGGGAAGGAGAGATGATGACACCTCTCAGATAACTTTCAAAATTTAATAGAGTTCTTTTCAAAGTGGAACAAATGAGATGTAATTTTCATGCTTCCAGGCAGCATGAGATTCATGGTTAGTACTTGGCGGGGAAAAATCGAATATAGGATCCCCAAATATTAGGCTGGGAAAGACAGCTGTGCTGGAGGATTTGAGATCATGCTGAATCAGACTCACATCTGTTTTGCTGTATGCTTTTCCATTGCTCCTTCAATGCTTCAATGACCTATGATCTCAGTGGAATGGGTGACACTTCCTTTGTTGCATATCATAACTTTCTATATCTGAGTGATTTTATTATAAGTTCTGTGGTCAAAACAACTGTGTCATCTGGTGAATGATACTATAATGATAAGGTGCACTAAAATTAACTAGACAGTCCTTGAAATGACACATAATCTGTTACAAAAAACTATTCTGCTTTTGTCCCTCTTCTGCTAATGTTTATGTTCTACTGATAGAACCTTTGAGAACCAACCCATGGTTACCTGAATACCAGAGGAGTTACAGAAATTCATTCTACAAGGAAACAGTGTGTTCCCATTAATGTGAATACTAATTATATACAAAATAAATGTTATGTGATTTTGGGTAGCAGGCACTAGCCACTAGTTGTTTGCATGTTTGGCAGGGTATGGGAGGATTAGGAGAGGCATCTTATAGGAGCTTAAAAACTTGAATTAAGGTCAATGATGCAATAAGGATTTATCAGGTCATGCTAATATTATGAGTTGAGATCTTGGAATAAGCATGGGATATGACTGTTTCAGTTGGAAGAACTTTCAAGAATTACGCCAAATTTGGAAAAAAAGAAGGAAAAGAGGGGAACCTTCTCTTAAAAAATAAAATGTTCCTTTCTACACAGAAGCAGATTTTTATACAAAATTATTGGATCTGTAACTGAAAGTTGAAAAAAAATAGCTTGACAAGATATTTATATTAAAGTTTACATGGCTACCTAGTTTTCAAAGGCAATATTTGTTGGTATTGTCATTTTGACTTAATCTGTATATTACATCACATATTTGCATAATTATACAGGATCCTGTATATGATTCACTGGTAACTTGAAAGAAAATCAGATATTAAACCAAATCAAAAGATAGCATTAAATTAAGCTGTTATTATTATTATCTGTGTATTATTATCAATCAGATCTGAGTTACGTGAGGAAGGACTTATTGGAAAAAAATATTTTTAACCTGACAGGGTGCCTTTAAATATACTTCGCCATGAACAGTGATGCCACATTTCATGACATTAATTACTTTCCCCTTCTGCCTTTTCTTTCACTCCTTTTTGTACTATTCTTTCAAAAGTGTATTTTTCATCAAAGGCCGCCTACATCCTATCGCTACTGCCAGGAAGCTTATAGTGAACATATTGAAATATGTTTTGCAAAAATTATCTCTTCTCCATAGCCAACTAGCCATGGGTAAGCTAAAGAGGCTGGACAGTGGAGTTAAGCTAGGCTAAAAAAAGGCTGTACTTTTGTGTTTGTTTGTTTGTTTTAACAGATCTGCGCTTTCATGCATTGTAGGAATTCCAAGTGAGAAAATTCCCTCCATCAAATGCAGAAAGGCAGCTGATCTAAAAATTGGAGTCTTAAGAGAGTTGCGTGTGACACTGAGAGTTTAAATGATTTGCTCGGTGTCAGAGATGAGACTTGAAACCAGGACTCCCTAATCTTGAACCCAGTCTTTATCTAGCTTCATTCCACCAGCCAAAAAGAAGATCCATGCTATGAGAGTTGTTTATTCTCTGTAAGGTTTGTCTTCTGAAAAGTGATAAGTCAACATAGCTATCAGGAAGGGAAGAAGGGTCTCATCCTAGCTTGAGAATTCTTCTATTTGTCTCCACCTCTGTTTGGAAAAATTATTATCTATTATATTAATTAGTCAATTCAATCAATAAATCAACCAGCATTTATTTATTAAGTGCCTACTATGTCAGTCACTATTCCAAACTTTGGTGAAGAAAATACAGACATGAAAGAATCCCTGGCTTCAGGGAGTTTGCATTTCAATGGAAGGGGGAAATATATACCTTTTTAAACATGTAAAGAATATATACCAAATAATATACAAGGTACTTTTTGGTGGGTTGATATTAATAGACTGCTGTGTAGTAGTGTTGGTAATAAAGAAAGGCTTCATGCAGAAAGTGATGGATGGACTGAGTTTTACAGCAAATTAGGGAGCCCAAGAAGCAGAAGTAAGAAAGGAAAGCATTTTAGGCAGCAGAGCATAAAGAGGGGGACAATTGGGTCTAATAATAGATAAAGGAGATAATTCTTGCCTTGGGAAAAAGGAAATGTTCAACAGAATTCTTAGGAGTAAAGCAAAATGGTCATCTTCTAAGTGAACTAAATTCAAATATGATAGAATCATAATGTATTTAACAGCAGTTAGATGTATCCCAGGAAATTCCATAGGTTTTGAAACTAAATAACACACTTAGATTGTTATTGTTAAGTTAGTTTTCAGTTGTGTCCAACTCTCTGTGACCCCATTTGGGGTTTTCTTTACAGAGATACTAGAGTTGTTCGCCATTTCCTTTTCTAGCTCATTTTGCAGATGAGGAAACTGAGGCAAACAGGGTTAAGTGACTTGCCCAGGGTTACACAGCTAGTGAGTGTCTGAGGCTGGATTTGACCTCAGGAAAATGAGTCTTCCTGACTCCAGGCCCTGTACTCTATCCACTGCGCCATATAGCTGCCCCTCATACTTAGATAGTAGTTGCCATATCAGAAACAAATAGTAGCCTGAATAGACCAATGGTTTGACTCAGGAAAACTTGGTATAGAATTTCAGAGCAGGAAAGGAACCTAGCAGCCATCTAATAAACCTCCCACACCTGAGCAAGAAGACCCTATAAAACATCTCTGATATGGGGCCATCCAGCTTCCCTTATAAGACCACTAGTGATGACAAATTCTCTGCTTCATTAAGAAGCCATTTCCACATTTTGATGGCTCTAATTTCCCACATATTCCCGCATATTCAATCAATGTGCACTTTTCTATTTCTTCTTCCCACTAGTTTTAATGTTGTCCTCTTGGTAAAGCAAAATGTTTAATCTCTCCTCCACATCACAGCTTTGCAATGCTTATATAATTTTTATCCTACGATTGCTCCGTATGCCATCAAGTTTATTTTTCTAGGTCAGGGTAGTTAACTTGGTACTGATTCACCCCCACAGTGGTCTGTGAATAGATTCTAAGGTGGCCATGAGTTTGGATGAGAAAGAATAGATCTAGATGTAGATCTAGATATGTATATATATAGATATCTATATGTATGTATTTCAATATCTTTAGTTTCCTTTGTAATTCTGTGTATTTTATTTTGGCAAACATTGTCCTGAGGAGTCCATAGACTTTACCACATTGTCAAAGGAGTCCATGACGTGGGGGGGGGTGGGGGTGGGGAAGCTCCTCTGTTCTAGAATAAACATTGCAGTTCTTTCAAACAAACCCTGAATGGAATGGTTTGAAGTCATTTCTGCTTGTCCATATCCTTTCTAATAGATGGCATATAGTACAAAAGATATGGTTTGTCTAAGGCATAATATAACAGAAGTACCCTTACCTTTGTTCTGTGTCCTTTGTTTCTGTGAGAAATGTAGTATTAGCTATTTTAGGGGCTATGTCATGTTAATGATTCCTTATCAGTTTACTAAGATCTCTAAACATTTGCTGTATAAACTATTGTCTATCCACTCCTTCCTAATGCTGTATTTTTATAGAAACTGTTTTGAACCCAAGTATAGTAATTTAAACTTATTACTGTTAAATTTGATCTTAATGAATTCATCCCATCATACTAGTATAATGGGAATTTTTGTGATCTTGATTCTATTGTTGTTAGCTACCCCCACCCCAGCTTACTGCCACCTTTAAATTTGGTCAGAATACAATTTATACCTTCATCTAATTAATTTATACAAACACAGAAATACATACAAAAATTATAAAAGAAGCAAATGCAAAGCCCTTTGCAAATCACTTTCCAGGTTGGCATCAAGTCATTAGTCTTTTGAAACTCTTATGAAACACTAAGTTCCTAACTATAATATCACCAAGACTAAATTTTATCTCCCTCACCCTCACAAGGATATAATGAAAAACTTTCTTCAGTACAATGTTGGAATCCAGGTACACACAATCTACAATATATCACTGATTTGCCGTTCTAGTTACCCAGCCAGAAAAGGAAATGAAATTAATTTGGTATAACTTATTCTTAGTAAAGTCTCACTGGCTCATTGCAATTGCCAACATCTTTTCTGAAGACTTCTAAAACATTCCTTTAATTATAGAGTAGGGGACTGGGCTTTTTATTTCACTAATACGGGAATTCCAGGATAAGAAAACTCTCTTTGCAAGTAAACATTAGCACTTATCTGCATCTTAGAGTATTAGAGAATTTCCAAGACCCCTGAGGAATTAAATAGCCAATATGGGTCAGAAGTGGGAGTTGAACCCACCTCTTCTTTTTTTCCAAGCTTGGCTGTCTTTTCACTATGCCACAAATGTGCTTTATTAATCTGGTCTAAATTTTGGCACAAATAAAATTAGAGCTCACTGCCTTTTACTTTCTATATACCAAGACCATGTTTACCTGTTTTTATTCCAGTGATACCGTTCTTCTACTTTAAAACTCAAATGCCATCAACCAGAGATGAATAATTATATTCTTTCAAGTTCTTTTCATATCTTGGTAAATGTTCTAGGCCTACTGACTTGAAGTCATTGAGGGCCTCTAGGTTGTCTTACTATCTACTAATCCTCTCTCAAAGGCTGTCTGCTATGCCATACTCCTCTTGTTTGATATTTTCTACCCAGTAGAGAATCTTATTGATATGTAACACTTCTACCACAACTCTTACCTAATTTGTTCCTTTTGGATAAAATATATCATTCCATTGCCATATTCCAGGAGTAGGTTGCACCTTACCAGCTCTTAGATCTACCCATGGTGTGTAATCAGCTTTTTGTCTAGGACCTCTAATTCCTTTTAGTTCTACAAATTCAATGCACATCTGGGTATACATAGCTGAGTCCATTTTCTTTTTTACATTACTGGGCATTTCCACTGCTGTTCTTCCTTCTCTTGAGGACTTACTTTTCTCTATGACATCTGGATTAATAGTTATATCTTAGAAGTTTTCCTTCCCTTTTATTTCCAGTTTCTTGATCAAATCTGAAAGCACTATAGGAAAAAAAAGCAAACACATTTTTCCCTATCAATTGTGAACCTTAAGCCATGATATATGTGTGTGTGTGTGTATACATGTATATATGTATGTATGAGTATACACATGTGTGTATATAAATGCAACTATTAAAATATAAATACATATGTATGTATCTATTTGTCTATAGCTATATCTACATATCTATCTAGATCTATCTATCTATCTATCTATCTATCTATCTATCTATCTATCTATCTATCTGTCTGCTTGTGCTCTTGGAGTCTCCAAATTCTTGAGAAAGCTTTATACGTATCTTCTAGTGATATCATTTTCTCAAACATAAATTATCACAAGTGGACATTAGTTATCAGGTTTAAAAAGTTCTGGAATCTCTTTATGATGTCCAATACAACACACATTAGCACAAATCAGTCAATCCACAGGCAAAATGCACTTCCTTTCTTCATATTGTATCAACATATGTCTACGTTTTCAGCGAGTCATTGGTGTTCAACCTTGTTTTTCCTATGTCTAGTGTCAAATTTACTCCTTGTGAGTGAATCTATATGACACTTGTTATTTTGTGAAGCACATAAAAAAAAGCTTATTTCTCTTCAAAAGTTCTAATTCTGCATGCTGGGGAAAGAGTCTAAAACAGTATTATGTATCTCCAATGTTTCTATGCTTTTTCCCCTTACATTTCTAATTTGTCTTCCATTCTGCCTAATTCTTCATCACCTCTAAGGACTTTTAAAAAAAAAGTCCTCATAAACTGGACAGTAGTTTTTTTTAGCCCTTTCATTTTTCCTTGACTTCTGCTTACTATCTGTGTGACCTTGGGTAAGTCATTCAAGTTATGTGGACCAAAGTTTCCCTAATCTATAAAATTATAGGGCTTCTGAGTCCCTTTTACCTCCTAAGCAATGATCCTATGACTCTGATTAGGTTTGTCAATGTATTTTTTTTTTACTTGATTCTGGAAGAAAGCAAAGCATAGTTTAATGTTTACCAGTAACTATAGCATTTATTTTGACCTCCATATATATATATATATATATATATATATATATATATATATATATATATATATATATATATTTCAATCTGAGGGTTTTTGTTTGTTTGTTTTGTTTTGTTTTATTTTTGTTTTTACCTTTAGGGCAACCTTATGATACTAATTACCCCAGTAAGCTGTCTACTGTTTACCATGCCTGTTGACTGTTCTGAGGAACCTGTCAGGGTAACTACTAAATAGCATGACCATAGCAGGTTTTCTGACTCTATAATAATAATAATAATAATAATAATAATAATAATAATAAACAATAACCTCATTGTTACTTACTCAGGTACTCATCTGATTTATAATTAGCAAATTCCTGCCGACACTTAATGGAAACAATGAGGTTTATTTTGCAGTGCTCTTGACTGTCAGAATTCTAACTTGTATCTACTTCTCCCTTCTTTCCTTTTTCCTCCTTCACTATTAGTCCTTCTCTTTTTGCTATGCCAATGTCTTCTGTAACTGAGTGATATTGTTGATGTTTGAGGGTTTTGTATTAATACTCTAACCATCTGTGTCTTTTATAAACCCATTACCAATCTCGGGTTTCAGCCCAGTAAGAGACATCATGGTATACTATATAGGGGCTGAGGTTAATGACTAAAAGAGCTAGCTTAATGACCATCAGCTCTCATTCCCCCAAGGGATTCTCTAAGATATAAATAAGTAAACTACAGCCTTTTGGCCAAATTCAGCTTGCTGCATGGTTCCATATGTCCCATAAGCCTTATAAGTATGATTTTGGTTTTTGTATTTTTAAATAAAAGCAGGATGGGGTGAAGATGATGGAGATGGTTAGATCTATGACTTCATTGGTATAGAGAACACTTAGGTGGAAAACTAACTCCTTCTACTAATACTGATCAGTACCTGATCTTAAGATAGTCACATTATTGGATTTGATTTAGGTATCTCACCTAGCACATGATGTCCAGATAAATAATAGCAACAATTCAGACCGACACTGGAGTATGTAGTGTAGCACAAATATCATCAAGATGAATCTTATTAAAAAGAATTTATTCATAAGAAAGATGTTCATTCAATGCTTAATATTGTAAACACTTTAAGCAGATTTCTTTCTTTCTTTTTTACCATTGTGGACTTCAGGGACATAGTAGCAATGCCTAGACCAGGCTTTTGACGTAGGTTCAGGTGATCTAGATCATAGAACGGTAATTTTAGAGTTCAAAGGATCTTAGAAATCAGCTACTCCAAACTCCTGATTTTGGTGATGTACTAGAAATCCCAAGGGTTAAGTTATTTCCCAAGGTCAAACAGGTAATAAGTGGCTGAATCTGGATTTAAACCTATGTTCTATGACCTAGAAAATCTAATTTTCATTCCACTGTTTCATATTTCCATATTTCCTCTCAGTATAATCTAAGCTGAAGGCCTACTTTTATTTGTGAGCAGTGTAGAAGGAATTAGCCATACAAAAGTGTTTTTAACCACCCTTGAACATAGCAAATATCTTCATTAACATTGTTTTGAATGTAAAGGACACACATATGTAAGATGTGCATAGGTTTTGCTTTGCTTGATTTGCTTTGGTTTCATGTGGATTAGAATTTCAAAAGTGCTCCTTCCCTCCAAAGTCACCACTTAGCTCAGTTGCTAAATCCAATGGGCTTTTCTCAATCCTCATTCTCCTTGACCTCTTTGCTGCCTTTGACATTGTTGATCATACTCTCTTCTTTGACATTCTCTTCTCTCTAAGGTTTTGGGACACCATTCTTTCCTGGTTCTCCTCCTACCTAACTGTTCACTCACAGTTCTGTCCTTCTCTTCTCTTCTCCCTCTGTACCACTTCACTTTTTGATCTCATCAGCTCCCATGGATTTAATTACCATCTCTATGCTGATGAATCCCAAATCCTAATCTATCTGCTCATTTCCAATGTTGTATCTCCAACTGCCTTTCAGGCCTCTTAAGCTCAACATAACGAAAACTGAATTCATTATCTTTCCCTCTCAACCTCCTCCCCACCCCAGTCTCACACTTTCTATATTACCGTAAGAGATAACACATCCTCCCATCTTTTCAGACTTGCAACATAGGAGTCATCCTGGATTCATCACTTTCTCCTACCACCACAAACCCCCATATCCAATTTGTTGTAAAGAACTGTTGATTTCATCTTTGCAACATCTCTTGAATACTTCCATTCTCTCCTCTGACACTTCTACCACTCTGATATTGTCTCTCATTACCTCTTACTTGGACTACAGCAATAACTTGCAGGTCTGCCTGCCTTAAGTCTCATTTTAATCTAAATTAATGAATAATTCTCCTCCCATACTAAAAATGTAAACAGAGTACTGAATCATGAGCATAATGAAGACATTGATTTTGGATATTCCTTCATTCATGACATAAAAGTTTGCATATGGCCAAGGTCTCAATAAAATTTGGAATACTGAGAAGTTTGTGCTTCCACTCCCCCTTCCCCTTCCCTCTTCTTTCACTACCCTTTTCCTTTATCTGGGTATCTCTTGTTCAAGGTGTAAAATGTCTTCTAACTGTCCTTCTGCATGTCCAGATTTTCTTCTAATGTAGCCCTCTTCAGCCTACTCCCAATATGATCAAGACCTTGCCCTCTGTTCCTCCTAGCTTCCCTATCCTGCCCCAAAGAGAATATTATTCCTATGTGCCTTATTTCCTTAAGGTCTTGCTACTATGACTTGTTAATATCTGATGAAGAAATTCACAGTGCAGTTTCAGTGACTAATTAAATATCCATCTTAGGGATATTTGTTTAAAGTAGACTGTGGGAGGGAATCTGAATGATTTAATTCAACCGGCTAAAGTTATAATGGCAGAATTTCAGGCATCTTATTGACAACTGTTCCATTCTGGAATGGCATAGATTGTTAGAAGGGAAATGAGAATTTCCCATTGGGTCCCTTGGAAATCAAACCATGAAGAAAGGACCCTACTCCTCTTAGATGGAAGGCCAACTCTTTCTTTTTGTATAGGTAGTATTAACCAGAAACAGTTTAAGTTCCTGTTGACATTTTTTTTTACAGCTTATTTTTAAAGTGATAATGCGAAATAATTTGGTAGAAAGTAGTTTGTGTTCATAATGAAGATAGTTCCTACAGTGGCCCAGAATGAAGTATCTTACATAGTGAAAATGAATTTCTAATTGCCATCGCTTGTCCAATTGTCAGTAATCCCTAATGACAGAAGGCAGATTTGGCTACTTCATATCATACCCAGTCAGTAGTTAATTGAATTTTTTTTTAGCTGGTGAAAGGTTCCAGATTGACAGGTCTATAAAAGGTTTGCCCCTAGGGCTCTAATTCTTGGCTCTCTTGGTTTCTCTACTTGAGCCAGTTAAGCAAGATGCCAGTGGGTCAATTAGTACCACCAGTCAGTTGATTCCTCACAGTCCAGGGCCGATGGCCCTTTATTGGATAAAGGCCATCAGCTCGCTTACATGTGGCCAGCTAGCATATAGAAGGGAATTTATGACTTAGCAAAGTCACGTTAGAACCATATACTGAGGAGGGTAATTCCCACGTTGACTTCTTTATGTTTCATCATTCCCAGAATCACAAACATTTGAACTAAACACACATACACACACACACACACACACACACACACACACACACACACTTAAATAGATAATCTTCCAGTTTATTGAATGGTAAGCTAGAGTCATAGCTATTAGTCAACAACCATTTATTAAGCCCCTACTGTGTGCCAGGCATTATATTAGGCACTAAGAATACAGAATGAGACAATATTTGACTTTTTTTTTAATCTGTGGAGACAGCATGTACATATAAAGTTATTTATAAAATAAATACAAGGTTATTTTTTGATAGAGAAGGGATACACTAGAAACTGAGGTTACGGTGTGAAAGGGATCAACAATGTCTCAATAGAAAGTGACGCTTGAGCTGAGCTTTGAAAGAAAGTAGGCATTTTGAGAGGTATAAA